TGATTGATTTTAAGTGACCAGCGTGTGGTCGCATGCCAGCTAACAAAGCGTGGCAAGGACCGCGCTGTCCACTGTGAGTGGTTTTGCTTAAGGTGTATGTTTTGGATATGTATTTCTAATAGGCATACGCGGCCTAAAAATGTGCATTTTACACAGGGTTCACAAAAGTGGGAGGGAGCACCCAGGTCCACAGGAAGGGGACAGAAGTGGTGCAGAAGTAGGGGCGCTCAGGGCACCGTCGGCTGTCCTGTACGTAAAGAGAGGTCTCCCGACCGATGGGCGTTTGCCGCAGTTCTCTGTCGCACGTAAAGACCTCTTGTTTCCTCTCGGAGCCCGTTTCTTGTCTCTTCTTGTTGCAGATTCCGGTCAGGTTGTAAAAGTATGATAGTTTTCAAGGGTTAAGGTTGTCATCATCACAGATCAAAGACTCTTGACAGGAATGGAGAGAGCCTATCCATGAAGCTATCAGGACACAGTTTTAAAAAACTGATAGTTCTGGTACCTTGCCAGTTGGGTAGGAAGCTAAGGATTTCACTAAGTAATCCAACAATCCTGTTGACCGAACTCACTGTTGTTTTTCATGGTTTTGATGTTAAGGTACTCGTTTTTAATACGCTTTTCTCTATTCCTGAGAATGTTCCAGTTACCATGAGGAGATATTTAAATATCTGCCTTTTTAAATTGATTGGTTTAAATACAATCGATTGGTTAATTAGGAGGACACTAGAGAACCAGCTTTGAGGAGTTCTGACTTTGGTTAAGTGGCTGTTTAAGAGTAAGGGCTGTGGGGTGCCTGGGTGGTTCAATCAGTCCCTTAAGCGTCCAACTGCTGCTCAGGTCATGATCTCACGTTTCTTGAGTTTGGGCCCCGCGTTGGGCTCTGTGCTGACAGCTCAGATCCTGGAGCCTGCTTCAGATTCTGTGTCTCCCTCTCTCTCTGCCCCTCCCCTGCTCTCTCTCTCTCCACCTGTCTCAAAGATAAAGATTAAAAAAAAATTAAAAGTAAGGACTGTTGCTCCACATCCCACTTTCTTTGTTTCGCCGATTTCATATGTACAGCTGGAGATGAAAAGTTCTGTGTGCTTCAGCTTATTTATCCCTGAATCCAAATCTTGGTTGCACATTATTAAGTTCACTCAAGATACTGCACAGTAGTGGGGATGCTTGGGTGACCCAGTCGGTTAAGCTTCCAACTCTTGATCTCAGCTTGGGTCTTGATCTCAGGGTTGTGAGTTCGAGTTCCGCACTGGGCTCAGTGCTGGGTGTGGAGCCTACTTAAAAACAAAAAGATACTGCTCAGTGGGCACAAACAATTTCATACGGTGATGCAGGGTGCAGCATGCACAGGGGATAATTTATTTTTTTAATTTGCTCTCTATTATTGGGCTTCCAATTACTCATGTTGAATGGAAGCAGAAAGGTCTTCTTATAATAACTGCCAGTTATTTAGCAGCAGATTAGAGGCAGAAGTTCATTTTCGATAGTTCACACATAAGAAATAACATTGGCTTCCAAGAAGTTCTAAAGATACTTGTCTTTGTTTTTCTTTTAATAATCTCAATCTATCACATTTTAATTATTCCAACAAATTCTGCAATTTAACAGGTATCTAGAAATGATTAGGCCAATTTCCTTCCTATATGTCTGCGTGTCTCTCCTTGAGGAAAGTCAGTATTCGTTGTAGTTACAAAAGGAATCTGTACAGCAGACCTATGTTTGTAGAATGTTTGCATTAATGTTGTTAAGCATTTCTAAAGAACTTTGCATTCACTTTGCATTCTTGATTTCTGGTAATCCCCTTCTGGAGAAAGAGTGCACATTCTGTTTCCCTGATGAGGTAAATTTGCTTGAAAAATAAAAATTTTTCATTAAAAAATCTAATTTGATTTTCTTTCTTTCTTTCTTTTGGTTACATTTAAAGCAGCCCTGTCTCTTGAGTTCCAAAATGACTAATTAGTACAATGATAATATAGCATTCTCTTTCATTGATCTGAAAATTATACTGTCCTCAGGAGACCTCAGTTTGATTTGTGTATTTTGATGCCAGTGGAGAAAATGTTCTTTCTCACAAACGAGTCTCTTCTCTGTGATGTGAAACCAGCCCCGGTGTGAGACGGAGGGGACCCGGCCTGGAATTGCAGGGGAAAAGGAGCCTTGGTTTCCCGTGGGACGAAGGATTTATGGTGCAGCCTCGGAAGAATTCTTGCATGTGCCTGGCACCATGCTGAATGCTTTAGTTGCATTATTTCTCATTGATTCCTCAGAATCCTATGAGATAGGCTCCTCATTTCTCGTTCTGGGAAAAATGGATATGTATGAGGAGAGATTTTTTTAATGTTTACTTACTTACTTTGAGAGAGAAAGAGTGTGTACATGAGCATGATCAGGGGAGGGGCAGAGAGAGAGAGAATCCCAAGCAGGCAGAGCCTGATGTGGGGCTCTATCTCATGAACCGTGAGATCATGACCTGAGCAGAAATCAAGAGTCGGACCCTTAACCGACTGAACCACCCAGGCGCCTTGAGGAGAGATTTTTAACGAGCACCCACACATTCACTCCCTGACCATGCTGAGCCCATGTTTGCTCAGCATCCTAGAGTGCCAGGTAGAATGCTAACATTAATGCTGTCCTACTTCCCCTATGGACATGCAGTTGTATAGGCAGCAGAGCAGAAAGTGTATTTATTTGATGCCCCTCGTCTACTGTTGAAGACTCAAACTGATTTGTAAAAACGTGTTGCATTTTTCACAGTAGCCTCTTTTTTTTTTAATTTTCTTAATGTTTTTATTATTTATTTTTGAGAGAGACAGACAGAGCACGAGCAGGGGAGGGGCAGAGACAGAAGGAAGCAGAATCTGAAGCAGGCTCCAGGCTCTGAGCTGTCAGCACAGAGCCCGACCTGAGGCTCGAACCGCGAGATCATGACCTGAGCCGAAGTTGGATGCTTAACCAACTGAGCCACCCAGGCGCCCCCATAGTAGCCCTCTTTAAGTAACTGGCTCTGTGTGGTACAATGTGTTTCACACCCACTCTGCCTGATATCGTCATTAATTAACATCATTCATTAACGCCAGAGCACTGCTCTATTCAAAACCAGTTAGAGGCCCGCTGTTGTAAAAATGAAGGGTAAAGAAGATGGGGGAGGGCATTTCTCCTCTTGTCCTGTAATAGCCAATACCTGAGAAATCTTCCACTGCTCCCCGGCTCCAGACTGGCAGGGTGCTTTTTGAAAGGATTACAGGAAAACAGAAGGGTTAACTGCAAAGTCAAGAATTGGAGACATTAACAAGCTTGTGTGGACATTGTATTAAGAAAAACATTGGAAGGTGACATGGAAAGAAAATTGTCCCGCAAGGGAAATGTACTGCTGAACTCTGAGTGGAAAGTGTTTTTAATACAACTTCAGTCCTGTGTTTGTGCAGTTTTAGTTGTGAAGGGTGGTGGCCAAGATGAAGAATAAAGCTTCCCTGAAACCAGATGAGAATCTAACCACGACAAAAATAGAGTCCTGACAGCTCGCTCTCCAGAATGTAAATAAGCAGAATATTTGTGTCATAGAGAGTAGTGTAAGCAAAACAGGATCCTCCGCCTTTTGTGATAGAGAGATGCTAAAACAGCCATCGATAGGACAGCCCTTCCTTCTGTGGAAGTCAAAGGAGCAGGTTAAAATTTTATAGCAGTCTAGTGGCGCCTGGGTGGCTCGATTGGATGAGCGTCCAGACTCTTGATTTCGGCTCAGGTCATGATCCCAGGGCCGTGGGATTGAGCTCTGCATTGGGCTCCATGCCTGCTTGAGATTCTCTCTCTCTCCCTCTCTCCTTCTGCCCCTCCCCCACCTCTGTGCTCATGCACATGCTCACTCTCTCTCTCTAAAATTAAATGAATAAGGGAGGGGCGCCTGGGTGTCTCAGTCGGTTAAGCATCCAACTTCAGATCAGGAGTTTGTGAGTTCGGGCCCCGTGTCGGGCTCTGTGCCGACAGCTCAGAGCCTGGAGCCTGCTTCAGAGTCTGTGTCTCCCTCTCTCTGCCCCTCCACTCCTCATGCCCTGCCCCTCTCTCTCAAAAAAAAAACATTAAAAATTTTTTTTAATTAAAAAAATAGTAAATAAAATTATATCGCAGTCTAATGTATTCTTGTTTGGAAAGATCTCCAAGAAATACTTGAAGGATGTGGAACAACACAGACTGATCTCTTCTGTGTACAGATGTTTGAATATGGACAGTTGTGGGTTTATACATGCATGGAAAGAGAACCGGAAAGGTACACATGAAAACACCTACAGTGGGAGAAGGGAATGGAAATTGAAGAGGAAAGGGGGATTTTTGTGCATTGACTTTACGTGTTTTCTATCTTTAAATTTACACACACGTGCTCACATGTAATTAAGAGAACTATATAAAGAGGGAAAGCAAAGATTTAAGGTCTCGGTGAAGATATGTAGTGGTTAAGGCATAGCTTCTGGAGTAAAACTGCCAGGGTTTGAATCCCATGTCCGTTCCTCTGGTTGTAGCTCCTTCCACAGAATATTTCACTTCTGTGCCTCCTTTTACACTGGAGAACAGGTTTAATCGTCCTTCTGTCATATGGTTGTTACAAGGATGAGATGAGTAACGCAGGGGAGAGCGTATGGATCACGTCCTGACGTGCAGTACACATTCGGCATATGTTAGTCATTTTAAACCAAAATACTCCGACAACTTCTAGCTTTAATCAATTCTTTGTGCAAACTTTGTTTACAATGTTTCTAGTGACAGCTTTACGAATCACAATATATTTTCTCCAAGTTTGGTTGTAGTTGTTAATGATACTGTCACATCCTTAGCCCACCGGTAACCTCAAGAGGAAGAGTAACAAAACAAATGGAATTTTCTTGTTTTATGTGGAGTGTCATACTTCCTGTTTGTGGAATTCTCCGGACTTTGCTTTCCTTGACCGTGTAGTCTTACATACATAATAAACTAAAGAAATGGGACTAATGAGGTTTTTCTCTCTTCCTTAGGAAGACTATGATCGTCTGAGGCCTTTATCTTATCCAATGACCGATGTCTTCCTTATATGCTTCTCTGTGGTAAATCCAGCCTCGTTTCAAAATGTGAAAGAGGAGTGGGTACCCGAACTTAAGGAATACGCACCAAACGTACCCTTTTTATTAATAGGAACTCAGGTATGTCTGCTTTGATTTTACCCATTGAAGAAGAGTCTCTGGCATATCTTGTGGGGTTGCTCTCAAATGGTACTAAAGTTTAGCCAATGATAATGCACGTTGAATCTCAGCTGCAAGTTATAATACATTCTATTTATTGTAGAAAAATAAGAATTTGGGAAAAGTAGTGCCAAAGGAAAGCAATCATACTAGTTGGGGTTTTAGAAGTGAAGTTCTCTTTTTTACTCTCTTCTTGATATGTGGGGATTAAATGGGACTACAGGCTTTATCTTTAAAGACTTGTAACATTATGGGACATATTGAACTTTCTTGATTAGATTGATCTCCGAGATGACCCCAAAACTTTAGCAAGACTGAATGATATGAAAGAAAAGCCCATTTGTGTGGAACAAGGACAGAAACTAGCAAAAGAGGTAATAGAACCTTCACGGAATTTAAAAATGAATGTAAGGGGCGCCTGGGTGTCTCAGTGAGTTGAGCGTCTGACTTCGGCTCAGGTCACGATCTCACAGCTCGTGAGTTCAAGTCCCACATCGGGCTCTGTGCTGACAGCTCAGAGCCTGGAGCCTGCTTCAGAGTCTGTGTCTCCCTCTCTCTCTGCCCCTGCCCCACTTGCTCTGTCTCTGTCTCTCTCAAAAATAAAAACAAAAACAAAAAAATAAAAATAAAAGTGAATGTAAGACAAGCTTCGGTAATGATAGAAGCTAACATTGTGCGTTTGCTGTATGCCAGGCACTGTGCTGAGTGCTTTACATGCATTATCTCATGTAATCCTTGCATCTCCTCGGGTAGGTCTGACCAGTTCCCTATTTACAGAAGGGAAAATGGGTGTGGCGATGTCAGATAACTTGTCCAGTCCCATAGCTAATAAATGGCGGAGCTGGAGTGCAGGGAAGGCCTGATTGCAGAGCCCAGGCTCTTACACCTGCACGACGCTGCCAGCAGTATTTTCTTAGTAAGTCACGTGTAGAAAGAGGCATCAAAAAAAGCCCTTTTTAATCACTTAAACATTTGTACTGTGCCAACGCAGGCTCTGTCTTTGGCTAAGACGCATGGAGTAAGTGCGTGTGGTGTGGCACAGGAGGAGTTTAAATCTGCAGTTAAAAGCAAAAATGTATGACTAGGTTTGAAAAGAAGCGTGTTGAATTTTCTTCCACCCTTTTATGAAAGAGAACATTCGCATTCTAAAAAATATACAACTGTGTTGTGCACAATAACTTTTAACTTCTATTCTTCCTCTCCCCGAAGCTAGGCCTACTTTTTTCTCTGTTTGGCCCTAACATTATTGGATTCTATTTTTCAGATGTGACTTTAATAGGTCTTTTGTGGAAACAGAATCTAATAAAGTCTTTTTAAATGTACTATCAGGAGGCAGAAGAAAGCAAGAAAACTTTTTGGAGGACAGTTTTTCCTAAAACAAAAAGACAGATAGCTTCACTGACAAATTGGTTTAGACATTCAGTGCTTGGCATATGGTAGGTAACCAGTAAATACTTGATGCAATAAATTTTCATAGAATAAGTGTGGAAGGATATATGCTTACTTTTGAAGTTAGCTATTGGTGGGTTTTACGACTATGAATGATTTCATTCTTTCTGCACGGCTGTGTTTTATCATTTTCCTTATAATGGTGTGTTGCATCATACCAAATGTGTAAGAAAGATTTTATATGTTTGTGGTGTTTTTTCCTCTTTCCCAGATAGGAGCATGCTGTTATGTGGAATGTTCGGCTTTAACCCAGAAGGGACTGAAGACTGTTTTTGATGAGGCTATCATAGCCATTTTAACTCCAAAGAAACACACGGTAAAAAAAAGAATAGGATCAAGATGTATAAACTGTTGTTTGATTACGTGAGAAACATCTTCAGTGGCCAAGGAAACTGTCCATTTCTCTCAAAAAGCATATGAAATGCTACAGCTATACCCAGACATCTGATAATGAAACGGTTTAAAACTTGAAAGAAAAAAAAAAAAAACCCAAAAAACCCTGTCCTCAGAATTCTATAAAATTCATTAAGAATGTTTCTTAAATAAGGTCCAAGAAGCAGCAAACAGCATCTGAAGCCACAATCTATTATAAATACTTTATTTCAACTAGAAGGTACAATCTCTCAGGGGTTTCATAGTTTAAAAAGCTACAATCACATCATGTTATAACTACATAAAAACAAAAAACAAAACAAAACAAAAAAACACAACAGTGCTGTAAATGGAACTGCCTGGCTTAGACCATATACATTTCTGCACAGTCTTTATGGAATCTGCACAAAGAAATTATCTTCTCCCTTTGCTCCGATTAATTGTTCTTGTATGTAAGTTGCTTTCTATTCCAGTATATCCAGAGTGGTGAAATCACAAGGCCAGCCACGTAGCCAAAGGTCGCTCCAAGCGTACAGGAGATGGGCCATACCTGAGGAGAGAATGTATGAGATCAAAAAAGAACAACTGTTTTATTATTACTTGAGCACAAGTGTAACCTAAATATTTCTATATTAAAGCTTAATGTGCTTTCTTAAAGAATGCCAAAAGTGTAATAAGGTCATAACTGCATTTATCACGAACACTAAAAATGTACACATTTTTATGTGCATTCAGCTGTAACAAGGCATCTGGTGACTGTAGATTTAGTTTGATGCTCCCCAAACTGCATGAGATACGTCCTAAAATTACAAATTAAAATTCTGGGTCAGACTTTGTCATAATCCTGGACTCGATATAGCTGTCTGAAGTAGTTGGCAATTTTGTTCTTTAATTTCCACCTTGGCTTATATATACAATGAAACGAGAAGTGTATGTTGACCAAAGTACAAGAAAGTTGAATCTGTGCTAAAGAGAACAGACCTAGAATTCAAGCATGTTACATGGAATTTATAACAAAGCAACTGCTTCCATAATAAAACTGATGTCACCTTTCAGACACAGGTATTGGAACCATAGCAGGAGTTCTAAAGCCACAACTTCAGTACACACCTAGAGCGTCAGTTAAATACTGGCTTCTAAATACCTATCTTCTCCAGCCATGTTACGTTCCGCACTATTACATCAAGCAAGCCAGAAGTGTAAATAATGTTGATTTCTTTCATCCGCAAGCAGTGCATGCCGGTCCCTAGGTGAAAGGCCCTGCTTTAAAAAAAATTATGTTCATCTGAGAAGCTTACTTGGTATACTGGAGCCATTTCTAATCTTTCTCTGGGGGATCAGGCCATAGAACTGTGTTAGAGGTGAACCATCTTAATTACTAGTTCTATAACCTAATTAAGCTTTCTTGTTTGGTCTGCTGTGGATCCGCCTTGTTCCAAGTGCCATGCAACAGACAATAGTGTTAGACAAAAAGTTTCCGTGTGAACAAATTAATGCGGTTCAGAGAAGCATAATCTAACCCATAAAATTTTCTCCAGTCTTTCCTACATTTAAACTTGCTGTTGACTAAATTATGATTTATTTATGTCTTTGGTGAGCTTCTGTTAATTTCCATGACTTGAGCTAATAGCTGTGTCTATTGCACAGATTCGGTAATGGAACACTAAACTTTTATACTTGAAAATGACAGCCTTAAATGCTCATATCAGTCACAAATCTAGGATGTACTGTCTTGTATGTGAGCTTTGTAGAGATTTTTAAAAATATAAGCATCATCTTCCCCATTGAAGAGTGGAGAGTCTACTGGATAACTAGTCAGGAACTTTCTTTCTGAACTGGACAGTGGATGTCTTCCTTCTCCCAAGAAGTGATGGTTCACATTAAGTACCATGGCCTTATGTATGCTCAAATGGAATCCTTATGTACTTTCTCACTTAATTTGGGTCTATTAATTATTAGCTATTTTTAGAACTGAAAAGAATTGCATAAATCAATTAGTATATGAGTTAAGTTGTCCAACACATGGTATAAAGGAATTAAGACAGTAAAGTATTATACATTTCCAACTTGACTTTGGGGGTTTGATGGGGATTTTTTTTTTCTCAAATTCACCTCTGAAACTTTCCACACCTGGGTTTACTAGCCAGTTAAAATTAAAAGCTAGAAATTGTCCTGCCCCAAGAGAAATGGACTAGGAATCTGGAAACACAAACTCCGATGTCACCTCTGTTTCCTGCCTGGGCCTCAGTTTCCTCATCTATAAACATGGGAGGTAGAACGAGAGGATCTCCAACATCTCTCCCACTTATCAACTCTTCTGATTCTCTTCTTTTTTTGGACCTTACCTTTTCAGCTGCACATTCTTAAGATGGTAAAAATCCTGTACATAGATTATTAGAACTCTAAGCAAAGATGATTGTATCATCTGAACCTGAGGTGCCTTAGGTACTCTATTGACCTTGATGGGGTTTGGAGTTTCCCATTGCTTATTAAGAGCCTTTTCATTGCTTTGGTTCTTTAGGATTTCTTTTTGCACTCAATCCTTCCTGTCACTTTAACTAAAAACCAAAGATTTGTTTTCTATTCATAAGCAGATTATAGAAAAATTGCCTTATTTTCAGAAGCATGTCTTCATTAAAGACTTAAGTTTCAGTAGAAATTGAGACTAATCACTGGAACAACTAGTTCAAAGTAGTCAAATATCTGGGAAATAAAATACTTCAAAAATATCTGACTGACATGAATTTTGCTAGTTAATGCAAATGCATTGCTTCAAATAAGGTCATGTATGAATGAATTTAAAAGAAACGTACCGTTAATTTTTTTTTGCATATAATCAATTCTAAAGTTCTCAAGAGTAATTTTAGGGGCTCCCTGAAATCTTATTTAATACTTTGCTAACTTGTACCTTTTTCTTGTCTCTACAGATACATTTTAGGTTAGCCCATGTTGAATTATCTTATTTCTAATAAGTAGAGCCTGAATTAATGGTTTTTATTGTGAATTAGTTACTTTAGGCATTGCTTCCATTTGATTTCTAATTATTACTTTTAAGTACCAAATTAAATACTGGTTTGTTGGTTGTTGCTTTTTAAGTGATTGTTACTTTAACAGTGTCCCATTTTAACACATGGGGTTATAAATAAAATAATATGCATAGTTTACTATCTATGTAAAGCACTGAACTTCTTACCTTAGTTTTTATTTAACACCCAATGTAAACATTTGGGATAATACTCATTCCTCTGTTTCTCATGCTGTAAGTCTAATCACCAGCCAAGTGTGAGCACCTGCACTTTGTTAAAAAGCGCATTGTCAAAGTGTAGACAGAATAATAATCCCTCGTGAATCCCAGCCAGATTCCAATTTGGGTCACTTCTACTTGAATCACTCTAATTTCAGTATGGCTCTTTGTTTCCAAACATGTACATACACAGTCACACGCACATTCTTTAAACAGCTGCCTACCGCACCTCCGGTGGAATGCCAAAGATGAAATATTAGCTTAAAAGTTTTGTCTAATGAGGGGCGAAGGCTTAGAACACTTGCTATTTATTCAGTTCTCAAGAAATCCAAGCCATCAGCAAGTTAAAATGTTGGACTGGCTTTGAAGACTGTTTGCTAGTGATGGATCAGGTTTTCCTGCTTGACTTTCCTGAAATAAGTAGCCCTTAACTCTAACACATTTTTTTGTAAAGGAGAATTTCTTCATTTAAGGGCAACCTTCCTGATTTTTTATCCCCAGGATAGGGAATGGCAAAAAAGAGCAGCTGAGTGGGAGGCTGCCCACTAAATCACCTTTCCTCTAAAGTCCTCATGATTGAATTTCCTACTAAGCTTCTTACAACTGCTTTAAAAAATTTAAAACTACACAATGGCAACAGATTTCATAATGACTTATCAAACTATCCCAGCTTCATCACGTATTTTCATACTTTGATCTTGGGGTCTTCCATTTAAAACTGTGTATTTGTCTCACACACAGAGATGCTTCTGAAGTTTAACATTCATGCTACAAGCAGGCTTAAAACAACTGTGGTATCATCTACTGAACAGACAATCCAACCACAATGTTATAGACATTTCTCCAAATTATGGTCATCTGGGATAGCTATATATAATTATCTTGTTTTGTTTAAGGAAAATAGAAAACTCAAAGACATTCATGTAAAGAAAGTCATTCACAAGTGTTTGCCATGAAAATGACCACCTTCTTTTTATCCAGTTTTTTATAAAGTAACAAAATGTTTTAACCACTAAATGGAAGAAAAAAATCCTGTTGCATGACAAAATTTAATGCAAGTGGGTAAAATTATTACAATTAACTGTTAGAAAACCTATTTTTAAAAATGAGTAGCTACATCACATGAACAAAGCATCTTGCTGAGAGTACTACTATTATCGTTTCTCTGAACCAAATGACTTTTTACTGTTTTTCCATCACTTAAACCAAAAAAGGTCAGTGTTCCCTTAAAATACTCAACATTAAGAAAGGCCTATATTACAGGGTCTGGGTACATGATATCAGCAATAAGTTGTGTTAACCTCAGAAATAAAACAATTCCACCCTAATAAGCTAAAAAACAATTTCTCAGTAAGTACATATTTAACTTTGTATGTTTTCTCAGTTAAATCAATATTCTTGCTGGTTGAACGACATTTCAAAATTACACAAGCTTATTTCCACCTGAAGACCACACTGCTCTCTTCTGATCAGGCATTACTGATGTATCTATATAGTCTTGGGACTTTTCAAAGTATGTTCTAAGTGGTACAGAATGATTTAAGAACTCTAATTTTTGTATTAGACTGAATTTGAATCTTGGCTCTGCCATTTATTAAATATGGAACCCTGTGAAAGTCACCTTACCTTGGTACCTTGGTTTCTCACCTGTGAAGTGAGGAACACACCTCATCATAAAACCCACCTCACGGGGATTGCTGTAATGAGTAAACGACAGAATGCACTATGTGGTACTTAGCACCATGCCTAAAACAGTATCTGGCACATAGTACATGTGAGCTATAAATTGCTAATAATCTTTTAGTTCATATTCCCAGTAGACACATCTAAGTTGCCATTATAATCTAGAACACCATCATTTCCCCAAATACACAATCTCTGAAGCTAATCCTATTAAAAAAATGCTTCCCAAAATTTTTTAAGTACTTTAAAAATATTTTTTAAAAACTACATCGAACTGAACTCATGTTTCCTTCTTGTCAAACATGATCCACAGGTTTTGTATGTATATGTCATATAATATCAGGGGCTCACAGACCCCCCACCTATGGACTCCTGGTGAAGAATCACTGTACTCGAACCTCACAAGTATTATTAACTGTTCTAGTCAGCCAAAGTAATACAGTGACCCTCTAAGGATCAATTTCAGTAACGTAGAATTTGTAGGCATTTGTTATGTGATTTGAGAGTAAGTAACTTAAATATATTTTATTATAATCTGCACAATAATACTTAGGTTCATTTAACACATACTAAATGCAAGTAGATTTTCACCCTTTTCCTGTTGCCAAAATGGCGTCCACAGG